TATGTACACAAGAGAAATAAAGATCACTGTGTTCTTTGTGTCTGATGCTTGGAATACTGCTTGGAATGGCTATGCTTGGAATAATACCTAAATGTATTATGGCTACTATGATCGATGGAATCAGAAGATCTCAACCAGTACAAATAGTAACATCAATTGAACCCATCTTGTTATAGACTTTGAATTTCCCCCAAAAAAGAAGCACCCAAAGTACACTACACACATTTAAGACAACTGCTACAAGTAGGTTTTTTTTTAAGTGCAGCATTTCTTGCTCTTATCCGTTTATATATTCAGCATGTGTAATTTTCAGGCCTGTCCTCTACTCCCAGACTCAGTTGCTCTAGTGTGTTGTAGCCTAACCCAAAAGCCTGCTCAGGAGGCTACAAGAAAAACATGTTCTTAGAGCAGCATGTATTGCTCTTATTCTTTCATATTTAGCATGTAGTCTTCAGATCCTTCCTATGTGTCTTCCATTCCCACCGTGTTGTTTTATGTGTCTGTTTGTCTCTCCTGCTCTCTCTCGGACCACAGTCTGGACATGTCAGGGCCTCTCTGGTAAGGACCCAGACTTGAACCTGTTGGGAGATTTTCCATTCCTCATGTCAGCTTACTAGATTATAACTTTTCCAGATGCTGTGTACATTCTAATCATCATCTGTACTGCTGATCTTTGTATCATTAAAGTGTCTCTCCCCTTAAAAATCATAAAGGCCCCTCTTAAACTGAAACGTAGCAGGATAGTCATTTCAATTGTGAACCAATCATTGTAAAAGCTAACGATTCAAAACTTCACACCAGCACCCAACCATCTAGACATCAAATCTGTGTGTACATAACATGTAGCTCCAACTTGGAACATAAGATATGTATTCTGGGCAGTCGTGATGATAAACCAAAGCTTACTATATACAGACTGTACTTGGCACTGCTTTGAAACGTTTGGTACCAGTGCTCAGTTACAGTATACTGAAGACTTATGCACCCCTGGTATGCAGAAAACCTGTCAACATGGGCTGTTTAATTCCCATATACTTGTACTGTAGAGTAAAATATATCCGCCATAAAATAACCCATTGCATGGCAACCTGGGTGTAGATGCTAGAGGTATAAATCTTTGGTGTTTGTTGGAGGGGGAGAAGTCTGCCGTATCTGATTGTTTGTATTTGTTGTTCCAGCGTGAGCCTGGTCCAGTGCTGTACAAGGATGAGCAGGCCACCATGCTGCCAGCAGGTATGAAATCATGCAAATATTTCTCTCCAGTCAAAAAATAAATCTTGATTTTTTTAAACATGTCTCAAAAATGTTTCTATCTGGGCTTTGACAGAATTTGAAGTTCGAGCCTTTCCTATAGTCCCGCCTACATCAGTAAAAATAATGCAAATATTTGACCAACATGCAGCTACTCTCTGATTGGCCAAACTGCTAATTGTCCTGTTGTCATTGGTTGAACTGATAATTATGATTGACAGTCCGGAATTTGAAAGGTCCATTGGTTCAGCTTTCTTTTTCTTCAAGACTCTCTTAAGTCTGCACAGGTCTGATATTTTTTTAGGTGTTTTATTTAAAGTTTTAAAAAAGGTACGTTGAAATCCAAAGGAAAAATGGTTTGTCGTGGTTAGGGTAGCACTGAATATATGTCATAAATTTGTAACTGTCATGCTTTTGCTTTCTACATTTGTCCTAATGCTAAGTTGCATGGTTAGAGTAAATGCATGCCAGTAATACAAGTCTTTTCCTCTGTACTTCTGTCTTGTGCTCAACATTGCTAGGCAAGACTCGCGTGTGAGTCAGTGGTAAGTAAATATCTACTGGCTGAGAAGGTGAATCGTTGACTAACGTTGTTCTCACTAAATGGTTCCCTTTTTTTTTAACCATTTCATATTTTTAAGGGAGCAAACACTGTTTACAGACTGTTCCATTTCAAAAAAGTTCAACAAAAAGAACAAACTTTACCACTGTTTCAGATTTTACAATTAGAAATATAACCAAGTTACTTTTCCTTTTGATACACGTACAAAGATGCACTGTAGGGCTCAAATTTTGCAAGTAGGACCTATATGGCTGTTATGCTGTTAACAAATGTATGTGCAATAGTTGTTTTGCACAAATTAGTTTATTTTTCCTAGCAGTAACTGAGTTAATGTTGAATGCTTCAGTTTAGCAAGCAAATAACCCATACTTTGTGTCAAAAATATGGAGGCCAGAATTGTACTACCTGTCTCAAGAACGTACCTTTCTAAAGAACTGAATTTTCACATTGACTTGTTTCTTGTTTGTTTGTTTGTTTTTCACTTGAATTCGTTTTCCCCGATGAGACAAATTCCTTTGTCATGTTTCAAAATACATTCAAATCATCTTTATGATCCACACAAAAGTAATCTTGAGATTATATTTTTTTCTTAGATGGTCAAGAAGCTGTCCAGGTTGAGGAAGAAGCAGAGAAGACTAAGTAAGAAGACCAAGAAGACAAAATTACAGCCTCAAGACCCACCACTTCTGCCTCTTCACCTTAAAGACATCTTTCTTAAGCATTGATCACTTTGTGGTACAAGTAATCGGTATATATTTGACTGTTACAAGACTATAGATAACACAAATGTTGAGTAAGGCCACACCAATTTAATTTCTTGGTTAACGGATTCGCCGCTTCATTTTTTTCTGATTTGCAAATAAAAATAAAAATTCAGAATCAACTGCAAAATGCTTATATTTTGCCCTGAACAGTTGAAAGCAGTCCTTTAAATCCTAGTTGTTAAAGTTTTTCCATCTTTCAATGCAGTGGTATCATTAAAAGTTCAAAATTAATGGCTTAAATTTTGAACCAGCTTGGTATGTTGACTTCATGGCTCCTATCGTACCATTTTGGGCCATAATAGGATGCCTAGGCCTGTTTTTATTTTTATTATTTTTTCGCCCGCCCGCTCCATTATTTTTCTTGAAAAATCCGTTAACCAAGAAATTAAATTGGTGTGGCCTAAAGTATCAAAGTTGACTAGTGATGTAAAAAGTTGATATTTCACCTCGTCCACTTTTCTGTGCATTTTCTGAGGCTTGTAAATAGATACACAAAGATTTGAGATAACCAACTGTAGTAGCCTGTTTATGAAACCTATTTTAGCTGCCTAGTCTCTCGTCCTCTCCACATAATTTGAACAGAGAGAACAAAAGAGACTCAGTTAAAATAGACATAGATCTTCAATCTAGAACTGTTCATAATTAATTTGGAAATATAACTGACCCCATTGTTTAGATGTACGCAGGTTCCTACTGATCCTTTTTATATGTTTGAAACGTCTAATTTTTTTATAGTTTTCTTGACTGGGTAGAATGGGATTTTGGTGTTCTTTCACTAGTGGATTAGACTGCAAACGCAGTGTACGTTGTAGAAAAAAATGAGTATTTATCGGTGAAAAGATTTCGGTGTGCAACATGTAGACAGATATGCACTAGCACTAGGGATTTTCTGTGTACTTTAGCGGGTAAAGAGTTTAGTTTGAAAATAGCTCTCATACACTTACACTTAATTGAAGCACCCAACTTTATCCTATACAAGAATATCATTTCGTACTATTATATGTTTGGATATTTTGTAAATGTCCCAATCAATTGTTTTGTTTGGTACGTAATGTCTTTATGATATTTTAAGCCCAGTTATGTTTTTAACAGTGAGTTGCCTATATACAGTTTCACCACCCAAGATAGAACATAGCATGACCATTTGAATGTTAAAAATGCAGTAATTTTGGAAGTATACATTTTATTGTTTCAACCATAGTCAATCTAACTAGTTATATTTGTAACAACTTGTATAAGCTTAAAATTAAGCAGAAGTTGGTATGAAAAAGGCACAAGTGTTCAGCACACAATGAAGATTTAAATGTGTATGAATAGTTATATCTGTGGTTGTTCGATAGTTGAAGCAATAAAGGTTTAAGACCTATAACTTGTGTGAAGACTTGCCTACAATACATTTGTTAAGAAGAAAGCAAAGCCCATTGCCACATCTATTTAATTTCTTGGAATCACATACATGTATTTATATTTTCTGGTTTGAAAAAAGGGAAGCAGGATATGGATCGACATATTTTGGCACCTACAATCAAGGAACATTCTTGACTTGCCAGTAACCTCAAGGCATGGGTGTGTTGTTTTGGGTGTTTGTGTTTGTAAGTATTTGAATGCAGTAGAGTGAAAGGGTGGGGGGGGGGAGGATTAGATTTGGTTACCAAAGATTGACCCTATGGTCAGGTTGGTCAAGTACGTGATGACTATATTATTGCACAAAAAATAAAAATTCATGCCCATTCAAAAATAGAGAACCTAGAAAAACTGAATAGTTGTGCCCTTAGGGGACAATGCCATGAATGTGCAAGTCATTGTTTATTGTTCAGCAGACCTACCCTTCAGTATCAATCATTTTGTCAAGTATCTGTATCGGGCAGGATATACGAAAGAGTATTGCATCAGAAAACTCCAACCAAGATGATGTAAAACATTTTCAACTTAAAACAGTTGCATATATTTGGCTTGGAAACTTTTACCCATTTTGAAACATTCTGAACTTTTGAATGACACTACATTAATACATGTCACCACACTTCGTTGAACAACCAGGTGACCCAAATCAAAGACAAGTGTATAAAATCTAATCACTCCAACCATAGCTGCTACTAAGCTCAACAAATTGGTACAAAAGTCATTTGCAAAATCAATGCCAAAACCACATCAACTTGATACAGTAATGCCGTCCAAACGTCACTTAACATTTAAAAGCCTCTCTCTCATTGGCCACTTGGGGGAAACGCCCCCTTTTGACCCCCATGTTAACCCATGTTTTATTACACATAATATGTCAATATTCACAAAATATTAATATTACAAATCGCTTTCTGTAAGGATTTGTAGGATTAAAACTGTTTATAGGGTATTAAAAGACATCGTTGTCACATGGTTTATGTAATTTGAGACAGCCCCAAAGTCACATGACAAGTAAGCAAGGACAACATTTGCCAACAATCCAAGATGGACGCCGGACACTGGCCTGAAAAACGGGCAAAACTCGACAACGGAGACGAAGTAAGTCATTCCATAGCCTTCTTTTCCTTTATAATCTGTCACTCTACTTCTTATGTAGCTGTTGTAAAATTTTGGTGCCCTAAAAAGGCATTTTTTGTACATTATTTACTGATTATGTAAGAGTCTCCCAAAGTGAGGTACGTAAACAAGACGACTTGTACGAATATTTGCGGTGTGGTCGATTACTTGAGACTTGTAGAAAGTACTTTGAGACATGTTTGTGTGTCTTAAGGTTTACATGGATCAGTTACAAGGGTTCTTAAGGTTGTATTCGTGTTGACTGGAGCTTAACGATTTGTTTTTGTGTCAGTGACGTCGCCTGTAACTTAAATTTACTAGATACAGATGTATTTGATAATCGATATAACAATTACAGTATGTGAATTTTTGTCATGTTTTTCGGTTAGAAACTTTCTGTCGAAGTAAGTAAAGAATATTAGAATCTTACCCCAGGTAGGAATATTGCAGAAATCCAGTTTATTAATTGCACAATATCTTCTTTTTTCTTGTATCAGCAGTGATCTTGCTACATTTTCGTATATACTCACTGTATGTTATATAGTTTGGGGGCGGGGCAGCATTTAAATTTAAGAAGGCAGGGACACACAAATGTAATTTTTTCATATGGCTTAAGGATTTTCTTACATATTCTGGAAGAATATTTCAGATTGCTTTTTGCATTATTTGATAGTACATACTGTTGAGGAATTTTTCTTTATCTTGTTGGAGGATCTTTTTATTTTCATGTGACCCATCCAGTGACCCCAATAGAAAATCATCACATTTGTAATTTTTCACTATTTCGGAGTTACAGCAGGTTTTTGATGTTTTCTACATTTTTGGATGATGCATTGAGACTCTATTCCACACAAACATCAAAAGCATCAGGGAAGAATATTTCTAGTAAGGACACCCCCCCATATGGAACCAATAACTTAAAGAATCTCCCATATGGAACAAATAAGATACAGAATTGAGTCAAGATGCATCTTTTTGATCATCTGTGAAAATGGCTTTGATTTCTTTGAGAGTTGTATGTTATGATATTTATTCTGTACTGCTTGAGTTTATCTTTCACGATTTCGTCAATATCTGTTGTTTTCCATTCCTAACTCTTATCTCAATCAAAGATCTCTAGGGTCCATTTCCTATCATTCCAAGCACATAATCACTTGAGTAAAAACTTAGGTTGATCTCTTCTTCCTGTGTTTCTTTGTATCTTATTGGATTAGAACTCAATATGGGGTTAATAGGCTTAACACATGATTTTTGCTGCCATGTGGTTAAAATTGGCTGAGATAACCTCTGTTGGCCAGAAAGAAAACTTCATAAATCATTACATGTCTTTTTGTCTTCAGAAAACATAATTTGTTTGAAGTTTGTTTATACTCTTCAAACTAATATAATAATGGAATGGTCCTACCATGCAATTGTTTTCTTCCACTATTTAAAAAAAAAATTTTTAAATCATTTCCTCAGCTTCAACTCATGACAGATGAATTTAAGGTAAAAAGTTTGAATAAACTGGGGTGCTGCACAAAAGAGTTGTCAGACTAGTTTTGTCAGTTTTATTTGGGTGCGGAACTTTCAGACTACTTTTTCCACATTAGCAGTAGGTGAAAGTGTTGGATTGGACCGATCCTGACTGTCAATCACAATTAACAGTTCAACCAATGAGAGCACGGCAATTAGATGTTGGACCAATGAGAAAGTGACTGCTTGCCCCTCACATTTATTTGCGTATTTGCATTTTTAAGTTTTTATAAAGTATTAAATTTCAGTCTGTATGGCACAAATTCAGTAGTCTGATCCAGTATTCCAACCCTGTAACGTTACTGATTTAGTGTCGCCGGGTAGTATTTGTGTTTCAGATCACGTCTTGGCATTTTCTGAGCAAAGAGGCTGCAGTTAACATTTTGACCTCTGCATATCTCGCAAAGAACCAACCGCTTTGTGAGGCTTCAGACCCTTCAGTGAATCTATCCATTGAGTTATTGAATTATAATATAAATTGTTTTACCTGGATGTCATAAACTTCATCAACAAGTTGGCTCTAGAAGAAAAGGAATTCCAGTAATTGCTGAATTAAACTGCTGCATTACTTTGTTTTACATTTATGTAGAACTTGCCTAATTCCCACAATTTACATATCTTCTTTTAATATTATTCTACCAATGTTTTAACGATGAAAGGGTATCACAGTGTGATAGTGATACTGCACCAGTGTATTGTATGTTCGAGAAAACCCCATGTGCCCCTTACACACACAGAAATAGCTCTGTGGTAATAGATAGCTTCTACTTTCCATATAAGTTGCCCTGTGCCAAGGTCTTTGTGTAGTGATATAACGTACAGTGTACATTTAGTATTACTGTACGTACATCATTGTGTCAGTATGGATAACTTAAAGGGTATACAGGACTGCGTTGCAGAAATTGGACTCAATTCACAGGTTAGTTTTCTTTGGGTAATTTTAAGAGACAAATCTGTTTTTACGCAATATTACTAGAAGTTTGCGATTGAGGTGTCCTATTTTCAATGTAGAACCTTCAATGACATTATCCAATATCTTTTCCCAAAATGTCCCCGTATACTGACAAGGCCAGTTTTGTCTTTCAAATGTTAATCATAAAATGTGTTTATTGTCATGTGATGACAACATGACAGACAACAACTATACATATTGAAATAGTGAAGGCGTGAAAATTTTAGCAATTAGTTCATTTTAAAGCACCAAGAGTTTATACCAACTAAGAATCAAAGACAAATCTCTTTTAAACAGTTTAACATATATAGGAGGAAACTAAAAAATCTCAAAGACTTTTTAATCAAGTCCTACAATATTAAAATGTTTTACAATTAGTCCTAATTATAAGTATACAAATGGTACTGGTGTTAACGGACATTTAATACAGTTAACGAGGAGGATTTTGTTAATTGATTGATGCCCCTTGTCGTTCATGCATTCATTTTGAAGAGTCATACGGATGTCACAAGACTGGGGTAGTCCACTTTGATTCAAGGGGAGTCTCTATAACTAGACTGTCCAAAACAAAACACTTTGCGTCAGACCAGGACATTATTTCTGGAGGTGACACTCTTGTAGTGTTTCCTTGTTTCAGCAAGAAGGTAAAGTTTTTTTAGTAATTAAGGTTTAAAGCTAAGGGCTACCGTTTCATGTTTTGAATTAATTTTTATATCAGCTTGTGTACTGTGTAAGTAACTGTACATCTAACAATTGAACAAGTCAAGAAATGTAATATTGTCACTAACAGTTTTTCATCAATTGCAGATTTAGTTTCTGAACATTATGAATTACTTGTCTTTGCTTTAACCTATGTAGTGACTAGTAGCCAGAAAGTGTAGTGTGTCTCGTATGCTGTTATCTGTTTCAAACTCAAAGTTGTACTTACAACTACATGTATGATGTCACTCACCCAGATTCTTTCATCATCAAAAAGTGATCAGGCAGTTCCATTTCACTCGAAAGGGGTGTTCATAATTTTTTATGAACATGATTTCTTGTCATCATTGTGTGTAATTCATTCTCAGAGCAGTACTAATACATTTTTTTTTTGTAAATAATAAGTTCTGCTTTAAAATTCTTTTATATCATGATTCATGAATGATTACCAAGTAAGCTTGTACATTATGTAATATAAGTTCTATACATTACAAGTTGTTCGTATCTTTTTGTGCAATCATATAAAGTTTGCAGGAAATGATGGGTATTTTTGTGTGGGGTCGTGTGGCGCAACGGCAGCGTGTGCGACTCGGAATCGAGAGGTCCCGGGTTTGAGTCCTGACATGCCACCGATCTTGTGCCCTTGGGAAAGGCACTTTACACGACTTTCTCCACTAGACTCAAGTGAAAATGAGTATTGTCTGTCCAGTTTACGTTTCTATGTGCAGGACACAATACCAGCTGCCTCTGTTCCGTGTATATTGCATTGTTGCAATTTCAATAAAATAAATAAAATGGGTATTTTGAATTTGAGCCCTGCCAACCAGTACTAGTGAGAGTGTTATGCAAATGTTGTGACGGTATACTCAATGGGAATCAAACCAATTGTCTAATCCTTCTGTTGTGATATTTAGGGGCAGACTTCTGGTTCATACCTGAAGGAAGGAGACATGGGAGGCACCATGGAGGTGATTTTCTCAGTAAAGGAGGAGGTGGGAGCCTTGGCCAAGGCACTCAGGCTGTTCGAGGTTTGTTTACTGTTGGTTTGTTTGTTTGTTTACCATTCATTTATGAACTACAATGACGAGAGATACAAAACGTATTCTTCTTAACACTGTAGCAGTGACACCTAGCGGTAATAGCAAAGTAGAACTAGTCAGTATTTCCCTGAGGAATGTGACAGACAATAGCCAAAGGTTGCGTACAAAGTACTTTGTTAGTCTCGATTTAATAGTTTTTGTTTATAGAAATTGCAAAACAATTTGTTTTGCCAATTGTTTTTGCTTTATGTCACTACAGTTGGTAAAAAATGTTATTATTGTACAAGTAAGGATTTAAGAATATAGTTGGTCTAAGTTTAAACTACACTGTAATGCAAAATTCTCTTGAATTACAACTAACTTATATTTTCTTAGCTACAAATGTTTCAGTAGTCTGTCTACTGTATGCACCTTCCATGAGTAGCCACTAGATTGCATTTGGCTTTTTGTAATCCCTACCCTCCAGTCGCACAAGATCAACCTGACCCACATCGAGTCGCGGCCCTCCAAGAGGAACCGTGACCAGTACGAGTTCTTCGTGAGGTTTGACCCCGAGGCGGCCGGCGTGAAGTCTGCGCTGGAGGCCCTGAGGTCGACCGCGGCCTCCGTACAGGTCCACAGCAGGGACACCACCACCGAGAACACTGGTGAACAGAAATTTTTTTTTTAATCTTGTATTGCCTTCGTGAAATATTGTTGTTTTTTGGGGGAATTTCTTGTTTTTAGATAATTCGTGAATTGATTCTGTCCGTATGCATCTAACTGCTGTCTTGCATAAGGCAACAAACATGGATACAACAGGAAATTAACTGGAAATGAGATAACCTTTTCTGGGACCTTTGATCTAACTTCCTGACAGTGACAGTGTCCCCATGCCTGGCATGTGGAAATAATGAATGAAAAACCTCTATTGTCCATTCATGCTCTTACAAGCTATAAGTACAGGTTATGAATAAAGCACAGTCTGAGGTATCTCACTATACAAAATATGTGTACAGTACATACTAAATGTGGTCAACTACCTACCAGTTAATAGCAGACAATGATATTGACTAAAAAATGGAAAGTTAAAATCTCAAGCTGAAACTCATGTCAGTATATGCTGAAGACTTTAAGACTTCAAGTTTGTAACAATCACAAACATGTTTCTGACTGTGTTTGTTTTGTTTTGTATCTGGTTTGTTGCTGTTGGGATAACTCCATGTTACAGATCCCACTGAGGCGGGTACGTAAGCCCAAGTGTCACCTTCACTTTGGTGATTGGTGTAAGCTAGAGGTCAAACGAGAGGGAATTAACTGTAAAAAAAAAACTAGCATAAGTTCCAATGCCCCAGTGAGTGTTCTGACACCCCTACATTATAACATAGGGTTAGGGTTTGAGGTTGTAGAATTTGCCTAACAGTAACATACTTGGAGGTAACGGTTTTAACACTGAGGCATTCTAATATAGTCACTTCATGTTCATGTAGAAAAAGTACCATGATTATAATGAGTTTACTAAATTTGTTTCTTGGTCACTTTCGATGTCAATATTGCAGGTTGGCATACAGGATTGAGTATCTTTCTAGCTTAGGGCGCAGTCACATACATTGAGAAGTTATCATGTGAACATGTTGGCATAATCATGCATGTGTCCTGCAAAGTTCAGCTGTCTACTTGCAGAAAAAAACTGTCTTGTAACATTGCATTTGGGAGATTGTTCTGATCATGAAACCACCTACTTCAAAATTCTACCAAAATCACACGGCTGTGCTGTAAGTCCTTTCACTGTTTTTTTTTTGTATATGTATATAACTATTGGGTTCCATGTACTTTTTTGTTCCAGTTCCGTGGTTCCCACGAAAGATTTCCGACCTGGACAGATTCGCCAACCAGATTCTGAGCTATGGATCAGAGTTGGACTCTGACCACCCAGTAAGTTTGACGTAGTTGTGCCATGATATCTTTATTTCCCAGATAAAAAGTTAACATGCAAATAGACTTCATACAACTTTACTTATTAATAGGTTAAGATGCAAATAGACTTTATACAACTCTACTGACTAACATATATATGTAACAGAAAAGAGTCAAGCTCTTCAATACTGCAAACTTGAACAGGGATTCGTGAATTTCATCAGGTTGGTAAGACACTGAGTAAAGAGGCTCTTTTTACACAACCAAGATTAGTATTTTATTCAGCTGATGTTTCGGTGACCATCTGTCACCTTCCTCAGGGCAATTCTGACTAGTTCACATTGCACTGCACAATATTTACATATCTACGCCATATACCTGATTACAGGGAATTGTATCTATTGTGATGAATAGGAATTACCTGTTATATAGCCAGATGATGTTGACCAATCAGAAGTCCTCATTCCATATTTAATTAATGCCTATGACACTGTAACATGATGGAAAGTGTGACAAGTGACAAATAACCATCTTAAGTGGTCATTTGTTGATCTTCTAACAGAATAATTGCATCAAATCAACAATGAAAAACAGGTAGAAATTGATCCTTTTTATCTAATTAGACAACTTCTTCTTAATATAAGAAGATGCATGCAGATATACTATGTAAGACATAATGTGAGTACTCAGGAAAATATTTTAATATCTCCTGATGGCAGAAAAATAACAGCTTTAAGTTTCAACAGAAGCTGAACATTGTGACAATTGCAACCCTACTTTTGACATGTATTGAGAGTTTGATTCGAAAGAACATGGTTTATTATATATTTCAGATACATTTTTTTGACATGAGGCATGATATAACAGGCCCACTATCAAATGTTGGGGTACACCATACATGGAAGGAGTTCCAAACTGATTTCATTGACAGGTCTAAAAGGTTGCCTTTGCAATAGTTAAATGGTTTTTATTGTCCAAACAGTACCCGTGCAGTCGCAGCCTTTATACGGCTGAATTGGTGCAGGGTATCACATAATAATCAATACAAATCACAACAATTACAACAATCAAATAATACAAATAATACACATATTTGTTTTACAATCATTTTTGTGGAACTGTCGCAAGGGTCTGTGCGGCTGCCATTCGGCGCCACAAGGTGACCTCAATACGACTTTCCCCAACCGAAGTTAGGTACCCATTCACACCTGGGTGGAGTGAGGAAATTCGTGTAAAGTGCCTTTCCCAAGGGCACAACATCGGGGCGCATGTTCAGACGTGTCCCGGGTACGACTCGGAATTGTTAGGGCATTAGAGAGACTGTCACCTGAAAATATCTTCTGATTCAGAAGATAAATGGAGACTCAGTCATCCAGCCAACCACATATTGATCAATCCATGTGAATTCTTAGACTTTCTTATTTTAAGCCCCAAGCCATTTCTATATAAAGGAGTTCATTGCTGACTATGTAGGGTGCCTGGATCTAGACCTGGATTAGACTTCAGAAGTAATTTTTGTTTTTTAGTTGCATGCTCAAGGTTAATTTCAATGTGTTCTACCAAATGGTAGTTTTTGTCCTGAGGGAAAACCTTCCTTGTGATCTCTAAGGCTTCCTGCCAGAGACGGATTGCTGAATCAATATCACCAAGATGATACCATTCTGTGGCCAAGTTTTGGAGTGCTGATGCAATGTGAGGATGTGCTGTGCCCGGGCCATAGATAACCCTGAACATCTGCAGTGCCTGTTTCTGGTAGCTAAATGCTTTCCTGTGGTCACCCTTTCGACTCCAAGCTTGTCCAATGCTTTCAAGTGATGCAGCAATATCAGAATGTGCTGCACCCTGGCCATAGAGCTTTTCCTTCATTTGCAGTGACAGCTCGTAGTAGCTGATTGCCAAGTTTGAATTCCTTTGATCCCTTAGTTTACTGTCCCAGGCATGTCCCAGGTTGTGGAGTATGGTGGCAATGTGAGGATGTGCTGTATCCTGACCACAGATACTTCTGTACATTTGTAATGCCTCTTCAAAGTAAGAGATACTTCTTCCGTAGTCATTAAATCGTAAACTGACAGTCCCCATGTTGTTGAGTGACATGGCAATTTGAGGATGTGCTTTACCCTGACCATAGATACTCCTTTGAATGTGTAGAGCTTGTTCATAACTGTTCTTTGCTTTCTCATAATTACCCAAATTGGACCAGCCGGTCCCTATGTTGCTGAGTGCTGTAGCAATACCAGGATGTTCATTACTACTATGGATACTTCTGTAAATCTGTATTGCCTGTTCATGGTAGATAATTGCCTTTCTGTAATCACCCAAATAGTGCCAGGCTGATGCCAAATTGATGAGCAAGCCGGCAATCAGAGAATGTGATGTATTTTGACCATAGATTCTTTTGTACATTTGTAAGGCCTGTTGAATAAAGCCAATTCCTTTTTGGTAATCACCAAGATTGATCCAGGTTGTTCCCACATTGTTGAGTAACATGGCAATTTGAGGATGTGCTTTATTCTGACCCAAGATAGCCTGGAACATCTGCAGTGACTGTTCAACAAAACTAATAGCTTTCCTTTCATCACCCATGTGACCCCACATTTGCCCTAGGTTGTTGAGGGACCCGGCAATGTCACATTGTTGTGCATTTTGGCCGTAAATACTCCGGAACATCTTCTGTGCTTGTGTATGGTAGTTAATTGCACTTCTGTAATCACCCAGGTGGTACCAGACTTGCCCAATCTTGTTTAGTAACAATGCAATGTCACTACGTACTGCATCCTGACCATAGATATCCCAGGACATCTGCAGTGCTATTTCAAAGTACTTGAGTGCTCTCTGAAAATCACCTGCCATGTCACAAGAAGTTCCAATATGAGTGAGCACCAGGCATTTCTCCTGAGTGTCATACCCGTCAGGTTTCTTCAGGGCCTCACTGAAGCACTTGATGGCTAGGCTATATTTGCAGAGTTCATGGTACATCATTCCTTGTACTCTTGGAGAATTTTCATAGAAATCGGGCAGTGAATTCAGAACTGGTATCTTTTCTGACCATTCTGACAAAACACTTTTAAGTGGAACAACTGTATAGTAGTATCTAAAAAGCTGTCTTTCATTTGATACATGAAAAACAGGATTGAGCGCATTTGTTTCTTCTTCACTGATCTGTGGGGGTGCTTGTCCATGCAGTGTTGTCTCTATTGAAGCCAATGCTGACAGGTTTTCCTTCTGCCCATTATTTGCAATGTAGGTTCTGAGCCTGAGTTCTGCAGAGATACTGGTAAGCACCTTTAGGTGATGTGCATTATTTGGACTGATCACATGTTGGTTTTCCATTTCTTCTATTGTCTTCCAAACTGTGGAAGGTATGATGTTTGAAGGCAATGCCAAGCAATCTACTGCTAGAGGTGGGAAGCGATAGATTTTTTTCTTAACATCAATCAGGCTTGCTGTAATCCTTTCTGTGATATCAATGTTCTTTTTCATGATTTCCTCTACTGTGTCCTTTGCCAGTTGTTGAGCCATTTTGCTCCCATCAGCTTGGAGTATCTTCACTGTGATGCCCATGTATGTGTCAATCAAGTCCTGGTCCCCTGCTATCAGGCATGGGTTTCTCAAGATAGTGGCAAGGTGATATCCTTCCTTCAAGTACAATGTGGCATCATTTTGGAGTATGGAAACCATGTTCATTGGGGTGCAAATGAGTTCACTGAGAGATTCTGTCCCTTTTCCTTGCCTGCCCAGTGGAGTCTTGCTTGCCTTTGGCATGGAGCCATCAAATGCAAACCCACGTGGTGTAACAGAGTCATAGAACCAGTCATCTTCTGGATTCTTGGAGTAGAAGTCATTGAGAGATTTTATTCCCAGTGCTGGGAGGATGGTTTCTCCAAGATTGACTACCTTAAGGTGTAGATAGTGTGTAAGGTTTCGGAAGTACACAAGAAATTTTTCACTTTCTTCCTCTACCAAGATGGCAAACTCCAGGTCTGAGTATGGAGTTACCAGTCCTGAGGCCTGTGAACCCAAACCTATCAGGGCATACTTACAGGGAGGGGGACCCATTAACCCAATACACTCTTCTACAAGCAGGTTGATTAAATCCCTCCTTTGTTGAGCAATGATCTCAAACAATTCCCTTACAGTCTGAGCTCGTTTTGCCTCCATATCTTTGATACATGGGTCATCCTCATCAAGTGCATAGGGATCCATCTGTTGGTCAATGGTTTCCATCTCCAGCTTGATCTGCTCCCGTGTCTTCTCCAACAACATTTTGTGTTTTTCTTTATCATCTAGACTCACATTACAATGAATGCCTAAGATACATTTCAGAAATGACCTCTCTACTTCTATGACAGCCATGTCCATCTTACCATTGAGGACTTCATCCTCTGACCTGGCTATTGCTGCATTGTAGAGTGCTGCAGCTTTGACAAAGTCTCCCCCGTCTCCTGTCTGCTGACCTTGCTTACTGTAGACATCCCCCAACTTGCACAGGGGCTCCACCTCTCTCTGGTACTGTTCGGGTGTGGAATCTGGGTACAGACATATAATTAGATTTTTGGCAATATCATCACCAATTGTTACTATTAACTGAAAGGCTATGAATGCACCTTTAAATTACATACTTAGGATGTTTGATATAATACCATTGAAATTTAAACCACCTTCACAGCAATCACATCATCAATTGTCATCATTGATTTGACATCATGATGATCATGATCACGACATTAATAGCCATGATATCTTTTTGTATTTACTAATAATAGATTTTTACCACTTTGATTTAGGGAAAGCCAAAAGCACATGTACCTCAACCTTATTAACCGTTTAAACTCACAGTACGTATTGGATTTAAGAATGACTGATATGGTTTATGTCCAGTGCTTTAAGTTCATTTTCTTTGGTCCCAACTAAAGATATCATCTAGTAAAACTTCAAGAATGATAAACTTTTTCCTTACCTCTTACATGTACCATCTTGAGGGCATCTGCAAAGTGCTGCTCTGCTGAGTCCAGGTCTGCTCTTTCTAGAGATAATTTTCCTTTCTTCAGATGGTCTTCATACTCACTTCAGATAAAGTAAAGACAAAACTTTAGGTATTGTTAAAAGACTTGAACACAGATTTACAAATTATGAATCCTAAATCTTACAGTCATATCATTGATATGAATATGGTAGATGTTGTCCAAAATTGCACATAATTAGAACAAGTTTGTCACAGTAAATGAACAGTTAAACGAAGTACAGTCAAACCTGCCCAAGAAGGCCACCCAGGGGACTGATGTAAGGTGGTCTTCTTGGACAGGTGACCAAGCTCTTGGGCAGACCAATTGATGCTTGTGCCTATGGAAAAAATTGTGGGGGCCAGGAATAGGTGGTTGTTATGGCCAGGTTTCACTTAACTTTCCCAGATCTAGATGTTTAGGATATGTTTGATAAGTTTTCCCCACCTTGTCTTGTCTTCAAAAAGATCATCATCATCAGTATCATCATTCTCCATCGGATGCTCCACACCTGGTTGTCTTGCTGGTGATCTTAATCGTTTTGTTGACAGTTTCTGCACGATTTAAAACACAATTACCAACATGTTGATTCTAGGCACTTTCATCATAATGATTTTGCATTGTACATCAATATGTTGATCTAATTTGCACATTTGCACATCACATTTGCACACCTACACAAGTTACCAATTAAAGTGTAATGTTACTAATATACATAAATATCAATGGCAAAATTTGGAAGTCATGACTAGATGAAACACCCATGCAAACATGACTATCCTCATCATCTGAACAAAGCAAACTTCTTGTTTTTGTTTGGGAAAGAAATCTGCATAATATATATATAAGATTATATACTCACCCTTCTCACAGCTTCCCTAACCTTCTCCATGTACAAGACACGATGTTGCAGAGTCTGTTTTATCTCAGGCACCTCGCATATTTTCAAGGCCTTGTTGTACAAGTTAGCTGCCTTAGAAAACTGGGATACATCAGAGGTTTTCTTTCCTATCTCAAGGTACAAATCTCCCAGAGATTTTAGAAGCTCAAGCTCCAAGAACATGTCACCGCTATTAACTGCCATCACTAAGGATTCTGTGTAAGACTGCTCTATAGAAGGCTGGGATATTCTGTCATTGTCCAATTTGTTGCAGATCTCTGCAACCCTTAAGACATTACTGTCCCTAGTACCCCAGTAGTCTAGTGATAACCATTGGTACCGTGGCGTGTACCCTTGCAGCAGTTGTCTGGAGAGTTTCTCCATGTAGTCAATACGGTGGCTAAGTGTTTGTCCCATGTCTGGGTCTGTACAGCGCAGGTAGGCAGCAGCATACAGGGCAGCAGCCTTGTCAAACTCTGCTGAATCTTTAGTGAGTTTGCCTCTCTGAAGATGCAAGTCTCCAAGACTTTTCAGGGCTTCTAACTCTATTAAGTGATCGCTTGCAACGATGGCTTCTCTTAGTGCATGCCCGTAACCTATGTCTTTGCTGTCTTGCCTTTTAAGGCACGACTCCAAGGCCTGCAACTTGTCTGCGAGGCTACTCGTATGGACATCAGGCATTGTCCAGCTTTTGTTGCCATGATGGCTTGGCCTTCTGGGAAAGAAAAGAACGAACATTTTGTCTGTTTGAATATATCAGGAAAGATAGTACTTAGCTTCAGACACAGTTTATCTTTATATAAAGTGTTACCATTCTTCAAGGGAGACTTCATTGTTTTCACACTTTTCTCCAATACCAGGTAACAAATGTACTGTTACACTTACTCTAGATTCTGTTACTGCAGAAATTTGTTGATGCAGGATGCCATTTGAAATGTCCGAGTTTCCCCTGTACTTCCCAATAGCATCACTCCCACTGACAATTTTCCTTGAATTACTTTCCTCAGTCAAAGTTTTGAAAGTTTCAGTTAAGTTCCCTACCTTGGTTTGTGAACAATACCAGCTGGGTCGATACCTGATCTTCCATTCAGTCTTGATGTTTTCTGTAGGATTAGATACACATTTGTACTTGTATTTGTGTGTTTGTAGCTTTAGCGCACATTTGTTTATGGCAGTCATATACAAAATTATACAATGATTTTTATTGATTTGTATGAGACAACAAGTAATTAGTAATATGTACACTGGTATTTTCAGTTGCATGCATAATTTCTGTTGCCATATAAAAAAAAGTGACTTGTGATAATGTAAGAAACAGAACATTGCCTACAAATGTTCCAGTTTATGAGGCTATGTGTACATTAATTCACTACCAAAAATGTTTTTTCTTATTTTTCTTATTTTCTTATGTTGAGAAATATTTTCTTGCCAGGGGGATTTTCAAGAAATTTCAAGAAATATTCTTCAAAGATTTTGTATGTGGATTCTTACACAAAGAATTTTATCCTTCTTTGTTCTTACTAAAAGAAAAAATTTCTACTATCATGCTCACCAACGAGAATCTTAAGAATTTTAAGAAAGTTTGCAGTATTTTTTTTCTGTATACAAGAAATATTTTCTTGTGTACAGAATGGTTTCTTGCTCCAATAACAGTTAGCTCTTAGTCCAAGAAATATTTTCTTGTGGACAGAATCGTTTTCTTGCTACAACAAGAAAATATGTGTTTCTTGAATTTTCTTGCTACGGGGATTCTTAAATTTCTTGTTCAAAGAATAATTTCAAGATACCATTTCTTTGTACAAGGAAAACAAGAAAAACAAGAAAAAGGCATTTTTGGTAGTGTTGAAATACATATTATTTCCCTACTGTAAGCATTAAAAGAAGCAAAAGTTTTGTACCAGTTGGGAAATGTGATACAAGAAACAAACCGAATACTTTAACTCACCCTTCTCACAGCTTCCCCAACTTTCTCCATGTATAAGACTCGATGCTGCAGAGTCTGTTTTATTGTATTGAGCTCAGGCACCTCGCATCTGTTCAAGGCCTTGTTGTACAAGTTAGCTGCCTTAAAAAACTGGGATACATCAGAGGTTTTCTCCCCTTTCTCAAGGTACAAATCTCCCAGAGATTTTAGAAGCTCAAGCTCCAAGAACATGTCACCATTCTTAACTGCCTTTACTAAGGATTCTCTGTAAGTACTTGCAGTAGAAGAATAGGATTTACTGTTACAGTCATTTTCCAATTGGTTGCAAATTTCTGCCACCCTTAAGACATTACTGTCGGCAGTACCCCCATGCCCATAATTTGGTGAATGAAACTGTGGAGTGTACCCCTGCAGCAGTTGTCTGGAGAGTTCCTCCATGTGACTGATACAATCCTCCAGTGTTGATCGCATGTCTGGATCAGTGCAGCGCGATAAGGCTGAAGCATACAGGGCAGCAGCCTTGTCAAACTCTGCTGGATCTTTACTGAGCTTGCCTTTCTGAACACGCACATCTCCAAGACTTTTCAGAGCTTCTACCTCCACTGGTACGAAGCGATTCATTGAAATAGTGCTCTCTGTTGGTGCCTGTCCATGACGAACTTGGCGCCTGTGTTGCCTTTCTAGGCTTGACTTCAAGGCCTGCAACTTGTTTGCCAGGACTGATAAATCAATGCCAGACATTTTCCTGCTCCAGTGTTTTAGTTATTCACCTTCAAGGAAAGGAAAAAAGAGAACACTAAGTCTTGCTGGGTTGAATGTTTTCAGACTTCAAATGTGACAGTTTTTTTAAGTCAAAATTAATATAGGTATAGATTTTAATTTACAAGGGTGCCACACTAGGATTACTTTAAATTTTAGTTTTGATCTTAGTTGTGGTGAATATTTCTTGAAATGTACTGATCGATTTCAAAGGTTTCCAGTGTGCCAACCTAAATGTTAAGCAATGTCCTAAATAACTTAGACAGGACATATTGCAAACTATGTGTACATAAAGACTACAGTAACTGTAACTCTATATCCCACCTGGATGTCTGAGCTGTACATTTGTACATGTGTGCCTCTGGCTAGAGAGTTGCGTATTTCTTCCTGTACTGGGGAAATTTCTGGGTTCTTTATACAGAATATTGGACAGTACTTCAGGGACTTTCCTTCAGTCTTGTGATCACGCATGAATCATATGACTGAGTAATAAGTAACTTGGCATAAAACATAACTTATTGATGAAACATAACTTATTACCTAGCATTAGCTTTTACCTTTGGTCACTACTGGACTATCTATCATAGGCAGTACCCAGTGATATTCACCACAATGGAAGCCTTGAAGTTAGTGAAAAGAATGAAGCTAAAAGGTAACAGTTGTGGAAATATGTACTGTCAGTACATATTTCCACAACTGTTACCTTTTAGCTTCATAATGATTTTTACCTTTCTATATAGGCACCACCTCCTATATATAGAACAGTCCTGTGTCTATCCTAATGTTGATGGACATTTTTGTTTTCTTAGGGTTTCACAGATGCCGTGTACAGAGCTCGCCGCAAAGAGTTTGCCGACATTGCTTTCAACTACAAACAGTAAGTTGCAACTGGATAAGCAAGTCTTCCTGTTCCTACCTGTCCAAGCCTATTAGTAAGGAATATTTTTGCCAATGGTTACTGATAGCTTGATTTCTAAGTATATTAGTAATATCTACAACCAATTTTTCTTCACTATGTGGTTGATTTGGGTGAATCAATTTATTGGTTGCTTTCTTTAAAGACAGACAAGTCTTATGTAGACCTGGTCTTGACATAATGTTCGAATTCTTTACCCTATTATACAGTGGCCAGCCCATTCCAAGAGTGGAGTACACTGAAGTAGAGATCAACACATGGTGAGTGACAGAGTCAAGAATTTCTACATTTCAAATTTAAAATGTATAATGTACTAGTGTTAACATCTCATACATTAGAGTTAAAGGGGAAAAATTTGTTCGATTTTGATTTGTTCCAAATCAAAACAAATTGTCTGCCATTATAATATCTTTCAAAAAATCTTATTAGACAGATTACAAAATTTCATACAAGCAAAACTAATATATGAGCTTTTAAATTGGTTCTTTTTGTTGTTTTTCAGGCGCAAAATCTTTACAGAGTTGAGGAAGCTGTACCCGACTCACGCCTGCCGTGAACACAACTATGTCTTCCCTCTGCTGATGGAGAACTGTGGATTCAGGTATGTCTGGAACTATGAATTAGGTTTAAGCAACCTGATTGGTTGGTAGCCAGCCAATCTCTTTTCACCATTGAATAGAGCTGCCTGATTGGATAGGAATCAGCCAATTACTGTTCACCATAGGTTAGGGTTTCCTGATTGGTTAGAAACTGACCAATCATAATCATCATACACATATCATAGAAACAGCTACAATTACAATAGATTAAGGAATGACCTCAGTTACTGTAGGTTGTCCGGCAAGGTGTTGATAATATACACACTAGATAAGTTACATGAATGTAATTATCAAACAGATACTTAACAACTGTCTCTCCACAATAGGGAGGACAACATCCCACAGTTGGAAGATGTCTCCAACTTTCTCAAAGGTTAGTTTTCAGTCTAAAATCTAAAAATTGTATGAATCATAATGCAAAAAAACTTTTGTTTTAGTCCAATGCTTGTATCCATGTAAATCCCTCCCAGAAAATAAAGACAGAATGACTTTCTGCATTTACCAATATCATTATCAGTGGTGTTTAGCTGGGATTGTCGTTAATTATGTTTACCGAAGGAAAACATATTGTTTTTACTCAGTTTCTTCCTCCTCTTCTGTTCCAAACACTAACCTCTGACCTGACCAATGACATGATTTGTTGACGTCTGTCACCATGGTGACTGCTGTTGGGTTACATTATGTTGCAATTTCATGGTCTGCTCTATTCCTGTCACCATATACTGGTAGTACATGTACATGTATGTGAATGTGTTTGACTAAAAATTCCGAAGGTACTAGGTAAACATGATGCATTTGATGTGCAAATGTTGCTTCTCTAGTTTGGTAGATGCATTACTACATATAACTATACACCTTTTTCATTAAATGTCCAAACTTGTTCCTGACAGATTGCACGGGTTTCACCCTGCGTCCTGTAGCTGGCCTGCTGTCCTCCCGTGACTTCCTGGCAGGCCTGGCCTTCCGTGTGTTCCACTCCACCCAGTACATCCGACACCACTCCAAGCCTCTCTACACGCCTGAACCGGACGTCTGCCACGAGTTACTCGGACACGCACCGCTGTTCGCTGACCCCAGCTTCGCACAGTTCTCACAGGTAAATTATTGCTAGGGTTGACTCTAGAGGTTCTGGGTTCAAATCTCTAAGTCTTAATGTTGTGCACATGGGAAAGGCACATTGTGCAAAGTTTTTCACTCCTCTAAGGGTGCCCGCAAGCCCTTTTCCATAGAGCGTAATTGGCCGTTTTAATTCAACGTAGAGCATAGACGGGCCGCTCTAGTTCAACGTAGAGCGTATTTGGTGCATTTTGCTTAGAGCGTATTCGCCGTTTTAATTCTACATGTGGCCACTTGGAATTTATCATAAAGCGTAATCGAGAAGTTTCAGAATTCAGCGTAGAGCGTTGTCTGGACCCCCTCTTGCAGGCCCCCCCTCTAAGTCTAAGGTAAATATTGGGTTGGACTGAGAAACGTCCTATCAGATGTCATCTGGGAGTCAAAATGCCCTTGTGACAAATGGCCCTTCCTTCCCCTTGTGAAATTTTTACCAACATAAAGCCACACGACTACATTACACATTCGTACCTGGACTACATCCACGACAGTTCTCCTTGATACATTTTCTTGGCATTCATTACTCTATCTCTGCTGATACTGTGTGGGACCTCTTTACTCGCACTAATTGTTGTCCGTACACTACCACGTCAACAAAAAAAACCTTCGAGACCTTCAGAATTATTGTAGAACTATATTGTATGATTACCACAACAACTTTGGGGAATAGCATGACGTAGGAAGTAATATGACTCGTACACTAGTGCACTAAATTCACTTTTATATCATCCTCTAAGTGCATTCATCTATAACCAATAACACACAAACACAAAACCATTTCAAAAGGAAACAATATTAAAGTAACAAAATCTGTGACTTGCAGGAGATTGGGTTGGCGTCTCTCGGCGCGCCGGATGACTACGTGATGAAGCTGGCAACGCTGTACTGGTTCACGGTGGAGTTCGGGATGTGTCGGCAGGACGGGGAGATCAAGGCGTACGGAGCGGGGCTGCTCTCGTCCTTCGGAGAGCTACAGGTGAGGACCCTTTTTATGTTGACTGAAGGAAAACATATTGTTTTTACTCAGTTTCTTCCTCCTCTTCTGTTCCAAACACTAACCTCTGACCTGGCCAATGAAATGATTTGTTGACGTCTGTCACCATGGTGACTGGTTAATGTTGCAATTTCATGGTCTACTCTGCTCCTGTCACCATATACTAGTAGTACATGTATGTGAATGTGTTTGAGTAAGAATTAACAGAGCAGACCATGTCCGAAGGTAAACATTATGCATTTGCTTTGTAAATGTTACTTCTCTAGTTTCGTTCCATTTTTCCTCTGCAAAGATAAACTTTGCAGAGGGAAAACATAGAATTGTTCTTGCTCTGTTTCTTCTTCGTCTTCTTCTCCAAAGAAATATGGTCAATGACCTAAACCAGATGTCTGTTACCATGGTAACTGGTGTTGGGTTACACTATGTTGCAGTTTTATAGCAGGGGGGGATTTAGACTCCTGTCACCATATGATATGTTTAAGTAAGAATTAACAGAGCAGACCATATGTGAAGGTAAATATTGTGCATTTTGCTTTACAATTGTTACCTTTCTAGTTTTTTTTTTTTTTTTACTGGATTGTAGCAGTCGCACTTGTAGCAGCCTTTCTGCTGGTCAGTCTTCTAGAAGCTTGATAGCCCAAACCTCTTAATATCTCTCAAGGGGGTCCTTATGAACAGGGGGTCACTACGTATACTACACCATTTTTGACTGTAATTCTATTATCTTAACAAATACAAACACCTTCTGCTCTTACAGTACTGTCTGACTGATAAACCAGACATTCGACCCTTTGAGCCGGAGAAGATCTCGGTGACCAAGTACCCGATCACTGAGTACCAGCCCATCTACTTCCTGGCCGACAGCTTTCAGGACGCAAAGGAGAAACTCCGGTAGGAACTTGTTTTGTTTTCCCTTGCTGATAGGGCTGTCTTACAGCTGGTTTGTTTGAGACAAACAGTCAAATGTAACATCTACTTCTGCGGCAAGGAGTACAGGTAGTTTAGTATGTCCTGAGAAACTGGTAGCTGAAAGGTTACCAAAACACCATCAGATAAAATCTTTGGTTTTGTAGCTAAAAGTATTACAGAACCCAGTATGTTCTATATTCTGTTCTGCAGTGATTGCAGTTCCATACCAAGTTGCCAAATGGCAGTTCTGACCTGTCTCTGTCCTCCCCACATTGCGTGGTCCCACACCATCTCCTGGCCCTTCTCAGCACACTACAATCCCTTGTGTAGCTAAGTGTAAGAAACAGGAACATTGTATACACTGCAAGCCACTGACTGCTGTTCCAAACAAAGTTGCCAGGTGGCACTTTTGACCTGTCTGCCCTTACCATAATTTGGCCCTGCTCAATGCACATTCACATTACAATCTCTTGAGTACCTAAGAGTAAGAACCCAATATATATGTATAGGGTAAGCTGGAATCTGAAGTTCCAAACTAAGTTGCCAGGTGGCACTTCTGACCTGTCTGTCCTCCCCACAGTACGTGGTCCCACACCATCCCCAGGCCCTTCTAAGCACACTACAATCCCTTGTGTAGCAAAGTGTAAGAAACAGGAACATTGTATACACTGCAAGCCACTGACTGCAGTTCCAAACTAAGTTGCCAGGTGGCACTTCTGACCTGTCTGCCCTCCCCACAGTACGTGGTCCCACACCATCCCCCGACCCTTCTCGGTGCACTACAACCCCTACACGCAGTCTGTGGAGATCCTGGACAACAAGGACCACATCGTCAACCTGGCAGCCAACATCAAAGGTGGGAAACATGCCTCATTAATTAACATTCTTCAAGGTTACTATTAGTGTGTGCACGGTGTAGGGGTCTGTGCAGTCTGCATTAGCTGGAAAGACAATTGAAATTCAAACAATCCTGCAGGTCCACTGTAACAACTTTGTGCCACCTTAACATCACATCCACAGACTGTTCAGCACCAAAGACACTTTTAAAAATTCCTACTGCAGTACCAAGGTCAATCACCAGGTACCCAAAGTCAATCTACACAATCAACTCCATGAAAACATCATCCAGACAGAAAACAGTACCCACCATATTCATAAAAGGAAACAAAATTTATTTTAGAAGGGCAGACCGCACCAGATTAGTCCATCAGTATCTGTTTTATTTGCCATGTATATTCTGTACCTTCTACCACAAAAAAAATGATTAAGACAGTAAAAGTGTACATTTGATACAGTCTGACTTTATATCTTAGCTGTTAGTAAATATTATAGATCAGAATATGTAATGCTTGATATGTTTCTGTTATTTTCTTCCCTATAGGTGACTTTGACATCTTGGTGGATGCACTGCAAAAAGTCAAGATGTAAAAAATAATCTTCAAGAAACAAACACTGGTCTCCCCTACTATTTAGTACAGTGGTTCCTCTCAATGATAAATATATGCAACACTGGGACAGAGCCATGAGTGGATTATTATGAGATGTTTTATGTGATGTTTACACTCCCCCTAAATAAATGGTGTAACCCATATTTAGATAGGGGATGTTGTCAAGGTGGACCACTACATTTGTTCTTTAGGGGAGGAGAGGGTGTAATGAAGCCTGTTGTGGTATTGATAATAAGTTTTTGCTCTTATATGCAACACTAACAATCTCTTCTTGTGAAAGTTTTACTGAAGACCATTCAAGCAAATTTATCCAGTGCCTTGAGTTCAAATTTCAAGAAGATACTTTTATTTTTGAGCATGACAAACATTCATGTAGATATTATATAATATCTAATCTATGTGGCTAGAATACAAACAGTATTTTGTGGTGAAATAGAGAATCTAATAATAGTATTTTGGTGAAATCAGAACTTCTCTTATTTTTTCTGTCAGAAGTTTGAATGGTATTGAAAATTGGAGTTGAGTATAAAAGGGGCAGCAAGATTGAGGTTGAAAGAGTTGTGTTGATCGCTTTTAAGTCAAGGTGAAGATTTAAATAATGCTCAGAAGCCATATTCTGCAATTTTGCTGTAAAAACAAAGCAAATGTAGCATATCTTACATAAGTATATTATGGTAAGAGTATCTTTACCAAGCTGTAAATTGAAAAAAAAAAGGTTTTATTGTAAACTCAACATTTTGGCAGTTGTTGAAGGTAGAGTTTGTTATTGGCTTGAGGATTGGCTGTCAAAAAAGAATGGGTGCCAATCAGAAGAAGTTTAACATAACTATCTTACCCATGTTATTGGCTTGACGATTGGCTGTCATAAATGGATGGACGCCAATCAGAAGAAGTTTAACATAACAATCTTACCCATGTTATTGGCTTGACGATTGGCTGTCAAAAAAGGATGGGTGCCAATCAGAAGAAGTTTAACATTACCCATGTTATTGGCTTGACGATTGGCTGTCAAAAAAGGATGGCTGCCAATCAGAAGAAGTTTAACATAACAATCTTAACCATCAACCTCTGTTTGGAGAGCAATCTCTTGGCATTAGATGGTCAACTTTTGAGTGACCCAATGTACAAGACTATTGGAAATTGTAGGCTGTGTATTATACATCTACCTACTCTATGTTCATGTTCTGTAATGTACTAGTAACTCACTGCCAGAATTAAACCACAACACATATTGAACCAATCCAACAATGCATTTCTGGTTCTACATGTATGTGTGCGTAGAAAGTTCAGATAATCATTTTTCCTTACACATTTTATTCCAATCTATACATATTTTCTTGTAGTGTTAAGTGATATAATCAATGTCATGTCTTAATTGGTACCTTCACAAAAACTTGGGACAGCATAATTTTGTATCACTTCATATCACATACTCTGAAAAGAGATTTAAACTAGAAAGTTTTTTTTTTTTATTCTCTGCATTTGGGATGGTTGCAATATGTCACTGATGTTTCTGGTGGTTAGTTGATGTTGTTTTTTGTTTGTTTGTTTGTTGTTGTTGTTTTTTTTACTTTTAAGAGGCCATCTACAACTCGTTCAGCCTCCTAAAATGCAGGATTTTGCCCGGGAGCCATTGATATTTAGCTACCGGGTCCCTATGAACGTCTACTGCAATGTGGTGCACTTTTCACAAAATCCGCTAGAGTCTGGGTGGACAACCCGAGCCAATGCTAGCCCGGTACCCAGGCCATAGTTGCCTAACAGAGTCGTAAAGAAATGCACGTTCCGCTATGACAAACATGACATGGTGAGGAGAAGTTTTTTCATGAAAATGATCTCTGCAAAGAGTAAAAAGGATTGTGCTCAATAGACTCCTTCCATTGGGCAAATTTCTGAATCTTCTCAAGTGCTGTTGTCACTGTCCTTGGTGCTGAACTAACACAGCAGACACAAACACACATTCCTACAACTCTAACCGTCATGTAGGACGGATAGACGAACGTTTGGTCGGATTCATTTGATGTCCTGAAACATAGAGTAGTTTTGTAACAGTTTCAGTAACTACGTCATTTGCCTTTTGATTGTGTAGTTTCAAACAAAACGTGTGCGTCAATGATGTTTGTGAAAATATGACATGGCACTGCCGCTTGCCTCTGGCGAGTGGATTTTTGCCAAATGGCGGTTCGTCAAACAAGTTGATTGATCTGTATATAGAGGGATAGCAAGGCATCAATGCCACCAACTGTCGCTACACTCTGACAATTATTGTTTTATTTGTTCATGCATCGCATAAAAGGTAAACCGCCTGAAGGCGTAACACGCCAGTTTTGCACAGTAAGTACAAGCTGTGGAAAACCCCTGTCACATATTCAGGACCAAGGTCGATTGAGGTTCGGTAGCAGTTTCACCACGCCTACCTTTCTATGCGAATCGAATTTGAGTTAAATTTCAGTCACATTTGCTGCTGACTTACAGCCGATCACCAGCCCACCATGGCCGACCCTCCCCACCAACCCCCGAATGTTTTTAACATTTTGAAACATTCGGCTGGCGCGTCCAAAAAATAGCCGACCTGGCCATGGCCGAACACCAGCCGACTTTGCTACGACCTACTCACCCCCATCAGACTCCTTTCAAGCCGTACGCGGAAATTCAAGCCGTACCCGCTCAAAAATCCTGGCCGTACCCGAAAATTCGTGCCGTACCCGCGAAAATTTCAAGCGGTACCCGGTAATTCGTGCCGTACCCTGTACTTTTTCGCCGTACCCAATGGCGGATTAGCCATTTGACATCAAAAATGCCCCCCCCCCGTTTCTGGCCGATCTTCGGTGGCTAATGGACACTGGTCTGCTTGGAGATTAGGCCACACCAACCAGCCTGGTATGTTGACTTCATGTCTCCTATCATAGCATTTGGGACTATCATAGGATGCCCAAGTCTGTTTTTATTTTTTTTTCGCCCTGTCACTTCATATTTTTTCTGAAAAAATTCGAGAACCAACAAATCAAATTGGTGTGGCCTTAGACTTTTCTCGCGCATCCCAGTTGTTCTTGACGTACATATGATATTATATGAAGAAAATTGCTAAAAGCTAAGTACGCAGGGTTTTGCCTACTGCCTGTGCCTGGTAGGTGGTATTATCGGTAATGGCATTGGTAACCACAGATGACGCGATCCCCGATCGTTATGGCACATCTGTCTGACCAGACAACGTCACTTTGACGTCCGTCTGTACGCAGACACACGACGATCGAGACCACATACATTCTAGTACGAGACAGTGGAGTTCATTGTAGCACATCTAGCAAGAATTCCGAGATCTCAGACCACCATGGAATATCTAGATCTCAACGAAGGACTACCAAAGTTACAGCCCCTGTCACACATTCAAAACCAAGGTTGGCTGAAGTTCGGGAACAGTCTGACCAGATTTAGGCCACGCCTCCCTTTCTTACTCTCCAAGCAGAGGTTGTGGGGAATGATCGTTACCTTTTTATATATGGCCGGTTTTTTTTGTCCTGATCCCCACCCGTCGGTGGCCGCGGAGCTTCTCTGGCTAATGGATACTGCCTGGCCAATTTGATACTGTCTTTTTGCCAACGAGAGGGATCTGCTTGGAGATTAACATTCTCTAAGACAAGACAGTAGAGTTCTTTGTTGCACATCTAGCAAGAATTCCGAGATCTCAGAACGCCATGAAATATCTAGATCTCAACGAAGGACTACCAAAGTCACAGCCCCTGTTACACATTCACAACTTCCCCCGAACACCAGCCGACCAAAGTTGGCTGAAGTTCGGGAACAGTCTGACCAGATTTAGGCCACGCCTCCCTTTCTATACGGATCGAATTCGAGTTAAATTCGATTGAAATTTCACTGCCAACCTCGCCCCTACCTCTTTCAAACACCAGCCAACCATGGCCGAACCTCCAGTCAACACCCGAAATTGTTCCCGACCTTCTCCCAACCATGGTTGGGGGGAGTTCGGCTAGTGTTCGGGAGACCAAATTCGTGGAATATGTGACAGGGATTTACCTTACAAGCATCGATATCAATTTGTATGTAGCACTTTAGAAAAGAAAGAAAGAATTGTGACAGACAGAAATGTTTAACGGAACAATACGCAACTTACGTTCATGTTGTAGTGACTGCCATAGTTTCTAGGAATAGACTAGTATTAATGTAATGATCACATTGTCATTGTTGCCATACATTATAACCTGTACAACTGTCGAGCAATAAAGATCATTCATGTACAAAAGTAACGCCTTCAGCACTGGATATACCAGTGCTCGGGGAAAAATTTAGCACTGGGACACAAGTGCTCAAAAATCTTCAGTTCTGGAATACGAGTACCAGTGCTGACGTCCCTTCAGCACTGGAACGCTCTTCAAACCTGTGGTGACGTCTTTCCCAGCACTAGAATGTCTCGTCCTGGAGTGCTAAGAAATAAGCCAGATCACTTGTATTAAAGCAAACGAATTTTCGGAGTTGTATACATGAAAAGGCAACCTCTGATGTGATATAAAACACGGAACCTTTGCGTATACTATTCTACTATGCATTTCTTCAAATTCCTGATAGAAACATGATACTGATAGTCGGAATTTATGAAATGTCGACTACTTCATATAACGACATACTGACACTTTTTTGATTGCATTCTGGTATTTGAAATAGCTTCGTTCTGAGATCTTAATTTTCGGGATGACCTGGCCTAGATTGCAACCTCTCAGGCGGTTGAATTGACGTCACGGTGACGTCAGTATTGCGTCATGACGTCAACGTAGCACGGGATCCCCATGTGACGTTGTTTTACCGGGATCAGCCTGTATAGTTCCGCCAATCCGACATTGTAAAGCTCATATTTTTCAGTTGATCTTGGCAAGCAAGGTAGCTAATGTTGTGATTCTAGATCATCTTAGATAAGTCTCTAATTCTCACGGGCCTTTTATAGGTGTAATCTTTCTAGCGAATGGCCGAAAGCTAATCTC